AATCCTAGGGAATGATGCAATACATTTACAATACAAAAATACGAAGTAACAATAGATGCCAGAAAGTAGATAAAGGTGATTTATTAGCCTCCAAGCCATGATGAGTCTAGCACCTCCAACAAATACATTCTCCTCGGATTCATGTGTTTTTCATCCATTGATGATGTGTGGGTGAAGGAAGGGGAACGGTTGCAACTTACGCTTCCGGTTCAGCGACGACCCCTCAGCAGCGGGCTGTGTTTTAGGGTTGGATGAGGACATGGCGGAGCAGGCGCGGATAAAGAGAGAAGAAGACGAGCCTCAACGCCCCGGTATCCTAGATCCTAGATCCCTCCCAGTGTCGAATTGCTCAGGCAGCCCATTCCATCATATCTAGCATTGTGAGGAGAAGGAAATGGGGATAACTAAAACGTAAAATTATTAATTGCCGGACAAGATTCCAGGTTCTCAGGGTCTCAACACCTCACGTGGGACCCGCCTGATGAGGGTTGTTGATTGGCGCAAAGTGTAACTGCTATGTGTATGGTTTCAGGCCAACGGCGGCCAGTCTGGCCCGAGTGTTTCCCGCAGCTTCGCGGTAAGTCGCACAAGTATGCAGCATTTGCCAGTCGCAGCAACGTTGCAGGCCACGGTTTTGAATTTCTGGAACATTTTCTGGTTGGTGGGATCGGGGGTTTGACTCTTGGAGAAGCATTGCCGAAGCAAAACCTTGAACCCTTCGGTGGCGGGGTGCCTGGAACGTTTAAAAACGTGTGTAAACATAATGTTGCCATATACAACTGCTCAAACTTGCTACGTCCCTCCGCTTTAAGGGCCTCGGGGCGATCAGGAATCTATCTCTCCCACCTGCAGTATTCCATATCGTCCATATCGAATCGGGTTCTTCTTCCTGAGTGTTCTTCAGCAACGAGGCAAGCTCAACAGATCTACCGAACGTGGCCATGCCTAGCCTTCTCTAAGCGGCTGCTAGTTACCCTCAAATCAACTCTGAAGAACGAGTCAACAGCTTTTTACAGAGACGACGGTAGCTATGGTGAGTCGCTTCTTTTCTCTTTTATCTCAATCCACTCTGCCCTCCACAGAAAAAAAAAAAAAAAAAAAAAAAAAAAAAAAAAGAAACCTGACTCTCATAACCCTACTCAGTTAAGCCGAGTGGGGTTGTCAAAAAGTAGTGCTTTGTGATCAAAGCCAGCCGATCAACCCGAAGTGACAGGAGAAAACCCCCCCGCTCACCTGATCTTGCCTTCTGTTAGGGGGTACTAGGCTACCCTATCACGTGCCCCCCAACATATTGTATTGCTCTCGCGTAGTAATGGGCACTAGTTATCCACGGGGCGCGTTAGCGGCGTTATAACCCATGTTACTATGTATGTTAGCCAAGCCCCACGATAACTTTTTAGTGTTTAATTATATTGTACATACATTCAACCCCATTTGATTCATACTGTATGAGCAGACATACATTCAACCCCACTTGATTCATACCGTACGAGCAGGCATCATCCTTCAAGAATAGATTTTTAAGCACCCCTGCTCTGTATTCTTCATCATGACATCTCTAGCTGACTGTACAGAGGTGGAGCGGCAGCTTCAGATCAGCAAAGACCTCTTTTCGTACGGGGAAAAGGCCCTGGCCCTGGCCCTGCAGAATCGACCAAAGAATACCAATAAGCAGTATCTCCCCAAGCAGAGAGAATGGCGGGTGGGTGGCACTGCTTCCCTGCATCCAGATTGATCATTCTAGTTCTAACTCCTATCTCTTCGTACAGGACTTCTGCAAGGAGACTGGCTTTGAAGATGGGGAGATGGTGACAGAGAGAAAGCTGGTCTGGTTTCTGGAGGAGAAGGTGCTTTGTCGTCCACTGCAGGGCTCTGTTTATAAGAGCAAGAGAGCTCGTACGGACAGGGATGGCAACACTGTGCTGCAGACTGTGGGTAAGAGCACAGTCAAGCTATATGTGGCAGCCGTGGTGGATCTGTACAGATTTCAGAAGAGCAGAGGAATCAACTCCTCTGATCATCCACATGAACAGCTGGTCAGTGCAGTTCTTTGTACGCATGAAACCAAGGAGTCTGTACGAAAGCGGGCAAAGTATGTGGATCAGGGGGCCAATACTCTGCAGATGGATACAATGAGAAAATGATGATTCATCTGATGAAGTTCTGCTGAACTGGCTGGTATAAAAATGATCAAACATCTGTGATGAGCCATCTTTGTACAGAGCTGAACTTCCTCATGAATCACAACATGCTTCTGCAGAGGGAGACATCCCGTACGGCACAGCTGTCTGACCTTTTCATCCTTCAGCTTTCAAATGAGGGGCCCACTCCATGCTGGCCTATGATTCTCATCACAGATAATGGCAAGACCAACCAGCTGGGGCAGCTGAAGTATGCTGCTGTGATGAGACATAAGAATCCTCTACTCTGTACAATATCTCATCTGGCATTCTATCTGTTCTACCGCTGGAATATTGTATGGGAAAGCCTTCCAGACTTTTGAAGACACTCTCTCTGGTATGATATCCACCTTCTCTGTGAACAGGATCCCTTCAAGCCTCTTTCATACGATACTCAGCTTCAGTGGGTCAATCGCATGTATGCAGCAGCTGGGCTTCTGTCAAGCAAGAAGACTCATCTTGGTCGGAGTCAGGGGTTCAGATATGCTGAACTGAATGGGGTGTCAGAGGGTCAGATTCGCTGGGCTGGCCGATGGAATAATGATGCTCTGACCAACTGCTATCTCACCAATATCTCCTGAGAGTTCGTACGAGCAATGGCAGGGTTTGAACCACAGACTCAGGGCAACTACTTTCTTCCTCGAGCCACCATCCCCCCCCCCGAAGCAGCTGGAGGCTGCCATCTGGCCATGGGTGGATGTCTGGCTAGATAGATTTGATTCGTACGAGAGATTGAGCCAGAAACAGAGACAGACACAGAAGAGGGAAAGAGAAGCAGCAGAAATGGAAGAAGTGAAGAAGACAGAGCAAGAATTGTCAGAGAATGAACAAGACTTAGCAGCTCAGAGATTTCTGCGGCTGCTGAAGCAGCTTCATACAGTGATTCTTCAGAACTCTGTGTTTCTGCAGAGGCAGTTCCCTGACCACCCTCTATGGTCAGATGCTCTCTTCGTACGAGAGGATTATCAGAAGTATACTCTTCAGATTGTTCAGACTCTTGAGACAGCTGTGGAGCCTCAGAAGATTCAGATTCAGCGAGTAGTATCTGTCATTGCTGATCAGCTGAAAAATGTGCGACAGGAGATGATTCAGTCCATTGATAAGTGGGGTTATGAGAATCAACAACTGCAGCAAAAAATGGCTCAGCAGCTTGCTGATCTAGTTGATGGTCAAATCATTTTCTTCATACAGGCAGTTCCTCAGAGCTCTGCTGCTCAGAATTCAGTGATGAATCTGGCTGCCATTCTCTCTACTTTCTCTCTGCCCTCCTCTTCTTCTACTCTTTCCAGAGACATCGTACAGAGGTCAGTGGAGTCAGAGATGGAGATGAGACAATCATCATCTAACAATGCTGAATCTGTGGATCTGACAGCCACACTTCTCACCTCTTCCCGGACAGGAAATGGTTATTCTCTTTCTCGTACAATACAGTCAGTGCCTGATCTGTGGCGGGAGTGGACCACTGGTCTGGGGGGTGGTCCATCAGTGCAGAGCCTGGAGGATCAGGGAGGCAGCTGGCGCAAGAGCTCCTCCAAGGAGCAGATGATGTTCTGCCGGTGAAAGATCATCAATGAGATTCGTACGCGTGTGTCCTCTATATGACTGTCAGTGCTGCTGTGGAATCTCTGGAGCTGATCCGCCAGCGGGGGAAGCTCTCTCTTAATAAATTGACAGAGCTGTTGAAAAGACAGAGGCAGCTCTAGAGAACCTGTCATTTCCTTTCTCTTCATACGGAGTTGCTGGGACTTTGACTTTATATAATAATATAGATAGAGTGTATTTTTAGATGGATTAGAGTGTACTGCTAGCTAGCTAATGCAGCTCTGCTCTTCATTGTATGAAGGTTTCCTACTATACAGTGTATTCTCTCACTACAGCTGGCTATCGTACAAAGACAACAGAGGGTGGTGAGCTGATTGATGGGGGTGGATGAATTGGCAGATTGATGATGATGACAAAAGCAGTGAATTACATCTGCTTCTTTGCACCCACTCATCTCTTTATAATAATATCCTCTTCTCCTCTCTCTCCTCTTCTTCTTTTCTTCTTCTTTCAACACACCATCATATCAACCATGTATGTACAAAGCTCTGACAGATTGCTTCATCAACTAGATATCAGATATCACAACACTAACTGCCCTCTTCTCCATACAATATAGAGCTCTCTCCCTCCTCGGTCTCTCTGGCCCTCAGGGCCCCATCGCATCCTCTTCGTGGCTGATCAACAGCTGAGTCCCTTCACCCCCAGTCCACAATCCACGCGCCGTCTCTTTATCGGGGGTCTCCCAGGGCAAGATGTACCCTTTGTATGAGGCAGCATGACAGAGCTGCAGGTTCGAAGCCACCGGCCATCGTACATCAATGCCATTCTCATTCAATCTCGCGGCCGGACGGAGCCACATGCATGCCTTGCCTGCCGGAGTGCTCATCCAGGTCTTCGGCCATTCCCAGAATGCCGTCGCCTGCCTGGCCACTTTGGTGGAGCTTGTGGCAACTGCAAATGGCGTGATCATGCCATTCGCTGCTCCGTACGAGATGGGGAAGGGGTGGAGGTGATAGAGATTGTGGATGATGATGATGATGAGGAGGATGGCCCTCAACGGCGGATGAGGGGTCCCTCTGGACAGCAGCTGCTCACAGCTGGTTCAACACCTGCTGCTCCTATAATCCTTGATTAGCTCTCTCTCTCTGGTATGTACAATCTCTTTTCTCTTTCTCTTTCTCTTTCTCTTTCTCTTCTGGAGGGGCAGGTATGTATTATTTCTATTTACTCCAGTCATACGGAGTCTGTGTATGACACCTAGACATGATCTGCACCTCTACGTTGGTGTCTAGGACTAGCAGCCGCCCATTTCTCTTTGCCATCTTGTTCCGTAAAATCAAACTTGCGAATCGGGTGGCGGTAGAAAGTAGTTTTGTCACCTTCAATAAAAGCATAATGGCCGTAGATCCTCACAGCTGTGTGGTCATGTGAGATGGAGAAAGCGAGGATTTCCCGATCAACATCTTTTTCACGCTTCACGAGCTTGAAGAGCTCAACAAGACCTCTCACTGCAATAGTTGCGCTGTGAGCGTTCTGTCGATCCGCGATATCAAGTGCCGCCGCCCCACACTTAACCTCACATGTTAAGAATGGGAAGTACAAGTAGTACGTCGCCATGAAGTACGATGTATCAGTCAGATCACCAACAAAGGGCTGAAGCCGTCGCAGTTGGTCATCTGTGAATGCCTCTCGTCTGAAACCCACGGAGTAATCAGGCTGCGGACGGGGTTTAGTTACAGGGATAGCATTATCCCAACCTTCATTAACACTTTCAATCAAAATCTTGAGATGCTCGTCGCCATATATGGCCAGATTTTCTGCTGAAGGGACGATCAATCGAGTGATGTCCTGAATAACCATGGCCTCATTCCTATCCTGCATCTTCTCACAGATTGCTTTGAATAGATCGTCACAAAATAATGAGTTCTCCGGAACCCTTTGTTCAGCGATGAGCAAAGTTTGGTAACTACTTTTGCTAGCATCCGTGATACCCAGTTTTGATTCTTTCATAAAACTGCTCTTGGTTTCAAGCACCGTTCTATAGCGCGCATTTTCTGTATGGAGCACTCCTTTCCTCCCTCGGCTTTTGATCGCTGGGTGTGGTGGAGCTGGCGACGGAACTAGCTTCCGATTGCTTACGGCGAAGAGAAGATGTCGATTTCTTCCTTGCAAGTAGATGACTCATGTTGCTACCCTCTTCAAAATACTCCTTAGGCCAGATTCCGCTCCGCGTCCACCAGTAGATAGGATTAATCTTGTTCTCGTAGACGCCACTTGCCGCCTTCTGGTCCTCTGTGTCCGCAGCGGTAGATTTTCGCGGTCGTTTTTGGAATTGGTTGGCTGAAATGCAGAGCGATTCTTCCGCGTCTTGGGGTCTCTTCCGTTTTTGACCTTTAGCTTGCAGAGAGGCAGACGGATGTTGCTGTGATTTGGCTTTCAGTTAGTTTCGTAGAGTAGTAGGAGTAAGGGAACATACCTTTCTTCTCAGAGTGTCACTAGTCGTTGGGGGATAAGGGTGGCTCTGTTCCGCGCTTTTGTCCCAAGACAGAGCTTTCTGATCCAGGCGTTCACTTCGGCAGACAGGTCCTCGTGGTCGTTCTTTCTCGACGCCTCGAGGCTGCTTCCCTATCAATAAATGGTCAGTTAAAGGCGGCCGGTCGAAGCAGGGGTGGCTCACCTTGTGCTATCTTTCTGATGTTTGGCTTCGCTCGACGCTCAGTCTTTCTGACGTCTGGCTCTTTTTTACGTGGGGCCATGTTGATTGGAAAGAAGGGGGGTAAGAAGTCATATTATGTTGCTGGTAAACTGGCTGACAGGGAAGAGATTGCGACGGACCCCCAAAAGTCGGGTGCGAGATAATGGTTGTCGAGAGCCAATTGTTGGCTGCTGAGAGCCAAAGAACGAAACTGCACTAATGTCACGTGCCACGTATTCATGTAGGAGGATAACGTATTAGGCCACTAGGGCAAAAGAGCTCAATCACCACCAGCGCCGTGGTGGTATATGATAGGGTAGCCGTAGTACCCCCTAACAATTCAACCCCTCACAGCACGACCGACAAAGCATGGCAGGGCTCATTTACCCCTCATCAGCCTCCCCACCAGTGGATGTCATCAATGTGTTGATACCCAACTTACACACCACCTAATATTTTCTGCCTTACATGATCTTTCTTGGAAGACTTCTTAGCATTAAACTTCCTTGGCATGGTTAGATGATGAAGTTTTCTGACGAGAAACCAAATCATTTGCATATTTTTCAACATTCAGCGAACGGAAGCAGCCTTATTGTTCCTTTAAATTCTTTGTCAACTTATTAACTATTCTTCTTTAACGACGACTTCTGTCCTTCCAAAATCATTTCAAAACCGAAGCGATTTTAAGTCTACAAATCGTGGTGGGAACTGGAATATCGAGCTTTGAGGAAACCATCTGGATTAAGTGAACAGCGCGATCTCTGCACCTCTGTTGAAAGTGATAGTCCGCAAAATCAAGGATTTGAAAACAAAAAAAGAGGTAAGACTTCAGCCGCCCTTTCCATACATGATTTAGTCAGACATTAAGCGATATCCAGACCGTCTGTGACGATAGCAGCGACCCAGATTGGCAGCCGTTGGCAAATAATGTCAGAATAAAGCCCTCAGAAAACACCAGCTTCGTCGTCGTCGATATCCGGAACAAGCAAGGTGCGAGTTTTGTCAACGAGTCGGAGAACAACGAGTATGTCGGCGGGGTTGGAACAGACGAACAAGGGAATGTAGTAATGATCCCTTGGAATCATGGCTGGTATTACTATACCATCGGCTCCCTCCGGATAGGGTATATGAAGAAGGCGGGTTAGGAGCCGTTGGCCATCTTTACATCATCTGCGGACGTTGTGTGGCAAATTGATCGCTCAGTTTCCTTGAGATCGGGATGGTTATGAAGGGCAAGGTGCTTGGATTGTATGTTATTGTTAACCATATTTTACCTTGAATCTGACTAGACTCGATCGCTTGTTGGGCATCTTGAGCCGTAAGTTGGTAAACGTCTCCAGTAAGAGATTCTAAATCCAGTCGGACACGCACGTAAATATTTACCAGATACTACACACTTTCCGTTTGTTGCTGTGGCGCAACATGATCATCAGAAGTGGTGCCTGATGGATCTCAGTATATTTGCAATAAAGAGTGTAAAGATTTTTACGCACCTGGAATAGTATCTTGAATGTGATAGAGTCTTTCAGCATCGCAAAGTCTGCGTGCCAAAACGGCCAGCTTCTTTGGATGACCAACG